GTGATTGATGTGCCTGGTAGATGGTGCCAGTCATAGGCAGCAGGGTTGTCTCACATGTATCCATGGCAGCCTGTTGCGCGAAGACGTTCTGATATATCCCGACGGCTTGTGTGGGCTACTCACTGTGTGCAACTGACCTTTGTACAACCCTCAGAGTCACCCAATAGCGAACACATATACATTGGTATGTACATAGATAATGGTGTGTACATAAACAATATTATGTACATAGATAATAGTCAATACAAAGACAATGGTATGTACATAAACAATAGTGAATACATAGACACTGGTATGTACATAGGCAATAGTGTGTACATAGGCAATAGTGTGTACATAGACAATGGTATAAACATAGATAATAGTCAATACAAAGACAGTGTTATGTACATAAACAATAGTCAATACCTAGACAATAGTTAATAGTGTGTACATAGACACTGGTATGTACATAGACGGCGTCCAACGAGTTCACAGAGTGCACCTTCCACACACAGCGTTGTGGTGTGTACGACGAGAGTAGTACAGAGGTATACAGCAATAGGGCGAAGGTGTATGGGGAAACCTTAAATGGTCCATGCACACTCACAGTGGTCTATGGGGAAACCTTAAATGGTCCATACACACGCACAGTGGTCAGGGCAGCAGCTAGAGCAAGGCGGTGCACAATTGTCTCTGCCACATCACTAATTGAGCTCAACAGTGTTGCGTGCATGTCGTTAGGAAGCGACGGTTAGAGTTCACTGTCATATTAGTGGTCGACTAAAAAGCAACAGCACACATTGGAGAAGTAGAACATTTCAAACAGTCAATCTAGTAAAGTCCGGGTTTTGACCAAGTTAGCCTTCAATTCCTACAGGCTGGTCGGTTTTTGGCCAAGCTATCTGTTAATTCCATTTATGTGACGAAAGGTATCCAATATTCTCAATGGAGGCCGTTGATGGGCTGTTGCTTTCTCCATCGGATCCGGTTGGTACGAATGGCCTTTTTAATAGCAGTAGTTTGTGTACCTTATATTGTCTACATGTATACGAACACGTCCCTTCGGTTGCTTAAGGTTTGTGATCCCTGCTACGTCTGAGATCCATTGCACATCGATTGCAATGCGTTGGTGTTTGTGTGCCAAGGTGCCGTGCGTGTACACTTTTACGGAGTCTACAGCACCCGTACCTCTCGCTGTAGGTCTGTTGGGTAGAGTGGATATCAAGGAAGCCCTGTGAAACTAATGCCCTAACCCTAAACTTAAATATACCAGCAAAAGTGGCAGAGTCGTGTCATAGGTCAGTATCAAGTATCTGTTGAAGAATTTTTTTTAATATTCAACTATCAATGGGTTTTCTCTCACCGGTCAGGGGTTTTCAAATCTAAAAATAGAATGCCTTTCAAATCTAAAAATAGAATGCCTTCAGTGCGGATACGGGCCGAACACCCATGCCACCATCGTTCGAATCCTCTCACCAGCGCCATAGGTCATGAGTTCATCGGTATACTCATAGGTATACATCGATAGGGTTTTAGGGTTTCCATAAAACCCCCTCACGCGTGTCGTATGTATATCTATCAATACCCACACTCACGGCAAACCCCTATCACCACTTGCGCTGTCGCCTAGAGATATGTACCGTAGGGATGGTCCACGACCCCAGGACTATACCTTCATACTAAGGCGATGGTAGGGTTTATGTGCTCCTTCGTCTCAACGTTGATATGCGGTGGGCTTCTTCAGAAGCTGTTCAGTGTTCAGTGTTGGAGCGGAAAAAACGGCATATGAGTAACAGTATGCACGTATACAAGAGGCAATGTGGTGGTTATAGGAGAGGGTGGCCTTTGAGCTGAATGTGTCTCTGTAGAGCATTGCGCTGTCATTAATACCACAGCCAGTGCGGCGAGTGGATGATTTTGATATACATGTGTATATGTTATATATGTGTATGTCTTGTGGTACATTGACACAATCATGCACACATCAACAGAATTATGCACACACATACACTGGGAAAGGGTGCCTGTATGCATCATCATTCCATTTGGGGTTAGGTGTCTCCCTTGCTTTTACACTACACCATTGTTCACTTGAGAAGAGCTGCATACAAGCACTGCACACCCACACACGCTGTGTGTCTGACGTACCTTTGGACTGTGGGCGGGTGCGCTCGTTGTGGCGTCGACTACAGTTGTGAGGGGCTGCTGAGAGTGTTGGGAGAGGAGAAGGTTTTTCCCAGCGATTTTTTTTTCTCGTCTAAACCTGGTGACAGCAGGCAAACGTCACTCTGCGACTTTCCGCCTGCAAAGAAACGCTGTTTAGTATGAGTACTTCGTATACGCCACAACAAGTGATACAGGGGACAAAAAGCCCTAAACCCAAAAATCGAGGGCTGTGGATGCAGACTCAGATGACTACCATCGCGCAGTGCGGGTGGCGCGTGAAAGGGTTTGTTCAGTTGAAACTTGATCAGTGGTTCGGAGAGAACGGTGAATGGACCAAAAGGTGAGACAGGGGTGGTGTATACTACACGTGCATGTGAATATCATAGAGTGTGACATGAAGTACATTACGACAGCCAATGGATTACCAGCGGGTATCACAATTCGAGATGACGGCCGAGATATGATATGCACTCTGCGCATCGTACGTTATCGCCCATGTCGGGTTAGCGTGTGCGTGTGTGGCAATAGCCAGTATGCTTTGGATTGGTTAGCGTGTGCGTGTGTGTGGTAATAGCTAGTGTACTTTGGATGGATTAGCGTGTGCGTGTGTGCCAATAGCCAGCATGCTTTAGATTGTATACTGTACCAGCAGCCCGTATACCAGTCAACCGTCGCTGTACTTATCTGCAACGACGAGGCGCTAGCGACAACACATGCTATCCGGCGAATAATACACTCGTATTGGCATATGCTAAATCGTGCCCACACATATTACCAGTAAACCCTAAACGCATACCTAGCTGGCACTGTAAGTTCATAACCCGCTCGACCCATTGGGTGACTTCGTCGGTGGTATGCATCAAGAAGGTGTACCGTGAGGTCTTCTTGCTCTTGGAGTTCTTTTTGCACATGATCTCCACCTGCATGTTATTGAGTATGTGTATCAGGTGGGGCGAAGCCGAATAGTTTATTAATATGAGAAGCCGATCCGTTTATTATTGTGAGAAAACGATTCGTTTGTTGATATGAGAAGCCGAATAGTTTATTAATATGAGAAAGCGATTAGTTTGTTAAGAAGCCGATTCGTTTATTGATATGAGAAGCCGAACAGTTTATTGATAAGGTCATTTAACACATTAATAGACTGGGCTATGTCTATTTATTGATATAGGCCATATAATTGCCCATACGGTATGTGTCCATAGTATCGTACGACAATGGGTACATAGTATCGTACGATAATGCGTACATAGTATCGTACGATAATGTGTACATAGTATCGTACGATAATGTGTACATAGTATCGTACGATAATGTGTACATAGTATCGTACGATAATGTGTACATAGTATCGTACGATACTGTGCACATAGTATCGTACGATAATGTGTACATAGTATCGTACGATAATGTGTGCGTGATATCCATGGCATTAATCTGATAGCCTATTGCATGAGGTAGTAGCTGTCTTCATGTGCATCGTGTACTTCGTCTTGGTTTCCTTTTGAAATGGTCATTCGATTATGTAGCACAGCGTAAACCGGGGCGGAGGGTATATCGGTTATTGCAAAGCATAATGCATGCCAGGATAAGGATATGGATAACAAAGGACATGCGTGGAGAAGGATGTCCCGGGCAAGGCTCACATCTCCAGCCACGCCACCCCGGACAAAGACATGTGCACACACTGACCTCACAGCCACTGCACCGTGTGCGTGTGCGTGTGCG